ACACCGACCCCCCCCAGCGCCGGCTGACAGCGGCGTCCGACGTCACTGCGCACGGGGCGGGGCCTCCAATTAAGGGGAAGCGGGTGGCGAAGGGAACCTGGGCGCTGCAATGGGGCTCGGGGTGGGGCGCTGGTGGGGGGGCTCCCGGCCGGGAAGTCCCCAAGAAGGGAGCGGGGTGGAGGGGCAGGGTCCCGGGGTCCCGAAGACGGGAGCTCGCCCGACTGGGGTGACCCTCGAGACGCGAGAGTGGGGCGCGTGGCTGTCCAGCGTTGGGCGAGGAACGCTGGACTGGGGGGCAGGCTTTTCTCGCCCAGGGCATGACTCCTTGAATTTTGGGGACCCAGCCCGACTTCGCTGTAGCTGGGTCTTGCCCACGAGCCTTTCCATCACTCCTTCCCGGAAAGACAACTCTGAGCTCAACTTGTTTTCCTTTTAATGACAGATCAGGGGAAAGAACCCTGCAGGGAGCCAGCGGGCCCGCCGGCCTTGGGGAGCTCCTGCGAGGGGCGGGTTGAGACGGGAGGCCCGGGAGCTGTCAGTGCCGAGTGCAGAGGCGGGAGGGGAAGCTGGGAGAGGCTGAGGACGGGAGATGCATTCGGGGTGATTCCAGCGACGAGGAGGCGGCTTGGGTCCCCGAGGCAGCGCGAGCATGTTGGATAGACATGGGTGGTTTCGTTACCATCCCTGGGCCTTCTTTAGTCACCGGAGATTTCATAAGGGCTCTTCCTTATTCCTCGGGCAGCTCCATCCCCCAGGTATTGAAAGGGGGGCTCCTACAGGCTGTGACAGTGCTGTAGGGGGTCAGAGAGCTCAGCTGCCTGGAGAGGAAAGATCCTTCCTGGGCCAGGGGACTCCAGGGAGACCAAAGCAGCTGGAAAGAGGACAGAGATGGAAAAAAGAATGAACTGATGGAAACGTATGTCTCTCTCCAGATTCCCTAGTGCCCGTACCCAGATACCCCCACGTCTCTGATTTGTTCCCCTCAAATCCAGCAATCAATCCAGCTTGGCTCTTGGCTTCCGATGCCTCTCCATGCAGGACCAGGCATCCACATCGCCCTCCGAGTTCCTCTCCAATCATACCTGGGCCCTGCCGGGAGGGAGGAAGTGGTCGTCTTCCTGTGGGTAGGTTGCCCCCTCCTCGTCCTGACGAGGGTGTTGGCTGGTGCTGGGGAATCCACAGCTCGCTTCTTCGTGAGGCACCAGGGGCTCAGCCGCAGCCCCGGAGCTGCGCCACTGGGCCGTCTTCAGTCTGTGGAGATGTTAGGCTTAGCAGAGGGGCCTGGAGGCCAGGCTTCCTGTCTCCATTCTTCACCTTTCTGTCCTAAAATACTTTCTGCTGGGACGGAGGGGCATTGTCCTTTGACTTCCTACTCTCCACTCCCACTGTCTGCTCCCCTCAGACTGAAGTATTTTTAGTTCAAGGACTCAGAGGTGACCACTAGCTCCCCACTATCCTCCAGTTCTATGGAGTGCTTTCCTGGCTTTAGTGATCCAGTGTCCACCTCTTCCAGCTCAGTATGGCTCATCCACCATCCCTTAGTTCCCTCCTTTCCACATTATGGAAATTCTGCTGCGATCCCACCAAGTTCATGATTCATTTCCAAACAACCTCCAATTCCTTCAAAATCCTCCACCCCTTCCTTAGTTCAAACCATTCTGCCTCCAAACCCTGCTAGGCTCCCGGAGCCCAGATGTCGCTCCTTACTCATTGATGATTCTCTGTCGCCTCCTTAGATCCTCCAGGTGGTAAGTGACAGCCCTTACCCGGGCTG